ATAAAACAGAAGCCTAAATCTTCCTTGTTTAAAATGATTCGGCTGGTACAGTGTGTAATTTCTTTTCAGAGGGTATATAATTCTCCATAGATCTATTTTATTTCTTCATATTTTTAAGTTGCTGTTTCGCCCTAGGGTTATTTACATGTAAAAAGTATCAAGGGTTTGATGCTGAACTAAATCCTAGTCCCGCAGATAAATTAATAATGACACGCGGATTTTCGAATTCTTTTATACGTTTTTTAATGAAGAAAAAGGGGAAAAGGCTGAATTATGAGTGTTCGGACTAAATAAAAATGCCAGTGTAATGTCATTATCATATAATGTCAAATCTAAAACTACCAGGTTTTCCCCTTTGTCTATTTTGCATTTGTAAACTTTTGACAGAATAGTTTCCTTAAAAGAGAATTGCTACTCCTCTGAGCTAAAAGTAGATGTATTAAACGAGGGGGAAATGCCTCCCACTCCCGATATATTACTGTTTCTGTGTCAGGGGTAAAATGAGTGTCATATTGTTTAAATTTCAAATATAACAAAACGTCTTTTCTTTCCTATCATTTGCCGAGCCGTGACAATTTATTGAAATAAAATTAATGTCATCCTGCATCAGAGAAGAGTATCATGGCCAAAAAAGCGATGAACTATCTTTGGAAGATTTTTTCAATATAAGGCCTAAATACGAAGGAAAAAAAAAGGGAAAAACAAAAACCAGAGAGATACACCCGGCAAGCCATGGGCAACAGGATGGTGGCCAAAACAAAAGCAACAACAAATCCTCTCCAGACCCTTTGAAATACTAGAGCCAATGTTTACAATTAAAAGTGGAATTCAAAGAAGAATACCGAAGTGTATTGAAGAGCACTACCCAAAGCAACACCAACATTAACAGAAATCATGATTAAAAAACTCATATAAAGAGATTTCGTTGTCACCAGTAGTGGCTGGTAAACTCAAAAAGGCAGCTTTAACTGGACAAAACGCTCACAGGACTCTCGATGAAAACCTAATTTTAAAAAAATCGTACACTTTTCATTCTCATTTTTTTGTTGGGTTAATTTTGGAAATAGTAATATGTAATGAGAAAAAGGAGACTAGCATCCTTCAAACAAAGGGAGGTCAGTATACATTTGTCCCCTCAATACTCATAAAAAGAGTGCAAACATTACAAAGCAAGATAGCTTTCCCCTTTAAAAGGCTCGGAGACCTGAAAGTCATTTGTAATGTTTGTAAATTACGAATCGATGAGGGTAATAAAGTATAATAAACGCCATAGGCATATATGTGTTAGTAATATATAACTTTTACATATATTTGTGTTTTTATTTGTTTTTGTTTTAAAGTTTTACTTATTTAATATTCAACATAAATACATAAATATGTTCTTAACTTTTTTTATTATTAACTTGTTATACTTCGTTTTGTTTTTACCATTTATATTTACGAGCAGATTTTTTATGTTTATAACTTATTTCAATTGTTTATCTTGTAGGCCTTTCAATATAGTTTTAATTATTACAGTGTGTTTAGTCTTTTTCTATATATTGTTGTTTTATGTTTGTAAATTTGTCAGTGTTTTATTGCTTTTGTTTATATGTCATGATTATATTGCTTTTTACCAACACGGCCATGATTGAAACCAGTCTGCAAACTGTTTCGGGCTTTAACCGTGTATAAATAATCTCAAGCTCAACTCAACCTTCTACAAAAAACAGGGAAATGATAAAGATGACCCCATGCTCCAAACCGCCGAAAAGTAATGCGCTAATCTGTAACTGTTGACCAGGTGGTGAGATAAAAGAGCGCATGAAATATCAGGATTTAAATTCCTACATCAGAAAATGGTATCCCAGCAAATGTTCGCTGTCCCTTTCAATAATTTCTCATCAATTGTTGAAAGTGTAATGAGTAGAACAAGCGAACACAAACTTGTTTAATTTCATCTTTTTTCTTACTGAAAAAGTATATACAAAAGAACAAACAAAAACACGCATTGGCAAACTTAAAGTTATCGAAGATCGTAAATCATGGATTAAATGACGGGACATTAAAACGTGCGGAAATATTAAGTGCATTATCCTAAAATATTGAGTTGTTGTCAGGATCTAATTTTTCTTTTACTAACTCTGGCACACAAATTATAGGAAGGGCGGAGTACTAAATTAGAACAATTGTTTTATGCACTATTTCCAATACAACCCCCATATAAAGTTTATAATTAACACTGAAATTTTGCCGGTAATTGAATATTTTGTAATAAATGTGAAACTGCATGGTGCTGGCCTCCGAAATTCCCCACAGTGGAAGAGCGGCTCGGAGCATGGAACTTCAAAGCCAAGCGGAATGTTACACATCCCATAGTTACGGTTTAGAACTCACGCATGCGTTTGAATAAATAACAAGGGTTTCCATTCATTCTTTATTACCTCCCTGAAAAAAACTTTATACATTTTAGTCAGGTCATTTGGATTCTGACATTTGTTGCATATTGCACCATTACGTAATCTGTTATTGTTTAGGTTCTATATGCAATAGGCCGATTTCATGTTGTAACGTAATTATGCATACGTCTTGGTGAAATGCCTCAATACAAATAATGTAATTCACCTGTTAAGGATAATTGTATTTCAAAAGTCAAATTGCGAACTGCATATATGATATGTTGTTAGGTAGGGCAAGCCACTATCATAATGTTTGTCCTACCTAGCAACAAATACTGTATGCAATTTGAATTATGACTATTGAGATACAATTATTTGTATTAAAAAGGTAAATGAAATAATTTGTATTTTGCACTTCACAAAGACGTATTCATTGAATTTGGTTACAATACATTAAAAGCCTATTCAGACAGGCACACAATTAAAATGATATACTAAAAAACCAAAGAATATTTTATCACTCTGTCAAAAATTAACAATCCCACGTTTTTGTTGCCAGGTGCTAACTTCACTGAGAGGGGAATACATTACTTATTGTTTGGTCAATCAAGCTATACTGTTTGTTTGACCTAGAAAAAACTAATGTATGTACTTTGCAATATGACTAATAAGATAGCAGGGTCGTTGTCGGTAAACGGATATAAATCTATTATTTATATCCTATTACAAATGATACTTTGTGGAATTCATAGTACGGGCGCCGTGCAAATATAAAGAAGTTCTTATATTCTAAACTATTTGCTCTTTAAAAAAAAAAAAAACATAATAATTTTTGTTCTCCTTATCTCTTAAAACAGGTCTGATTTCATTCAAATTCTCATCATTATATAGTAAAACTTTTTTCTTTTTTAATACGCTTTCAATTAGCATACAAAATCGGAGTTTGTATGTGTTACTTTCCAGATATGTACTGCATCTGGTACTACGCCATGGCGAACCGGACCTCCAGGTAACCTTTACAAAATTAGCTGAAAATCTTTGTCGGAACAATTAATTGAATATGTTAAATATCAAAAACCAATTTCCTATAAGCTTCTCCCTTATCCTAACATATTTCGGTGTAGCAGTTACTGGGAAGTAAACAGTATTTTTTTTTCTCTCAACCATATTCCTCTTAAGACCAGTGCTTGCTTACATTATTTGTTTTTTGCGTTTGTTTTTGCAAAGGCTTATCGAAATAAACAAATACTTATTGGAGGTAAATTGACAGTCCGTCTTCATTTTTCTTCTTCTCATAAAGTTTGATGAAATATGATAGCTAAAACATTTACCCGTTAGTTTTTCTTCAATTGTAATAAAGTACATTTGCTTGTTTCTTGTTTATTGTCATACATTTTTTTTTGTATTTTATGTTCGTTATATTACCGAAAAATGTTAACAATTTTATTTAGATTGCATAAGAGAATAAATCAAATCAATTTAATGCTACTTAACTAGTAGTAGTAGCAATAGTATGACAGTAGTACTACTACTACTCTATTAAATATGAATTGACAATGTGTATTCATGAAGTCGAATTGTGCCTTCAAAATAGATTTTCCCTCAAACATAATGAAGGTGCTATTCAAAATGTACAGACATTGCTGTGTTGATATGTTGAAAAAATGAAAATAACATTATCATAAATAGCCATGATGATATTTTATTTACTTTTTGTTGTACCTTGGTTAAGAGTCAGTGGGGCTCATAATGTTCTTATCCAAAATTAATATCGATATTTACTTCATTTAGCATTTGCTGGACATTTATGAAGATCCTCTGATAGTACTTTTTTGACGTACGTGTATACATGAACGTGTGTATGTGTTTATGTGGGTGTTGTCGGAAAGCAATACATTTTTTGCTCCATGTATGTTTATAATGCTTTTAATAATTTGTCTTTCTCGTTACATTACTCTCGGTCACTCCTCATTTTTCACATGATTTGACTTCGGTTCTGGGCACAACCACAGATAAAACGGATAGATATATTTGTATGAAAACATATACTTTATATCTCTAATCGTGACAATGCCTTTAAACATATTTAAACATTGATTAAATTTGTTCATATGAATGTCAAATTAAATGGAAAAACAGAAAAGATCTAAAAAAATTATATGTCATTAGCTTTTACCATTTTGTTAGCCTTTTAAACACAATAAATACAAATATTATATAAGTCGTAATTCAAATGTTTATATTGTGATTTCAAAGAGCATCTTTCAAAGATAATTTATTGTTAGCCTTGTCTGGCATTTATCAAAAACAATGGGTCGAAGAAAAGAAAAAAACTCACGAGGTGATTTTTATTTGCAATTCTCGTACCGGGTGATTGCTTACCGTCTTTATGTATTATCATAATACTTACTTTGTCAATACCTGTATTGTTTATACGTCATTGAGTTCATTTCAGTATCTATTCAGTATCTAATCTACATTTTGCGTTATCTCCTATGATTATTCAACCGACAAAAGTCAAATTATTTCATGTCTGAACAAGTCTGACAGTATTTTCAATAATAATATATTACATTAGTGTTTTTATATATAATTATGTATTTTTTTTTCTTATCAAATTTTAGATAATTCATTGAGTACGATTCCGGAGACCACCGCTGACCAAACAGGTAGATCTTCTTTCAGTTTTAATGAAAATATATTTTATTTTATTTTCACATTCATTTGAACAGTAGCATCATTTGGCATGTCTTGGCAGATTCAAGCAATCAATTGCCTTTTACATTCCCAATTTTCAATTATCCTGAAACTGAGTGCATGTATAGAATGAAATTATAAAGTAGCCTTAATATATGTGGAAGTAGTAGTCCCCATATACAGAATAACGTCCACAATTGTACAGGCGCGAATTCACGGGGAGGGGCGACGGGCCCGGCCTCCACCCCTTGCCCAAAAAGTATTTTTTAAAGATGGGAACCACAAATTTACCTTTTCCTTTTTTTTTGCTCACGGGAGGGGGGGGGGGGTGTTGAGTCAAGAAGGGAAAAAACTATTTTGTTTGTAGTGCTCACTACCCCCCCCCCCACCCCCTCTGTTGAGCGAAAATAACGGTCTGCGCGATTTTCCAATTTCCGCCCCCCCCCCTTACTGGGTAATCCTGGATCCGCCACTGTGATTGTATGCAGGATTAAAATCCAGGGTTCTGGAATACTAGGGGCCCTGTAACTCAAAGATAAGTACGCGGTCGATTGTTTCTTGTAATCAGTCGTTGTGTGCAACCCAATCACAAGATATGTATTGTACATTTTGATTGTTCAATCGTCGATCGGTTGCTAAACTCAAAGGAGTGTAGAATATGCTTTTTGTTTATACCAAGCGTTGAGTACAATGTTGTACCAGTATACCTATTTATCATACCTGTTGATATTATTATTATTTTTCAAATTATTATTATTGTTATTATTATTATCATTGTTATTATTATTATTATTATTATTTTGTTATCATTATTATAATTATTTTTTTAATTTTGTTATTTCTCTTGTTATTGTCACGTAAAAATCATAATAATCATTATTATTATTGATTGTAAACATGTATATGAAGTGCTGAAGAAAATAATTTAAATCATATCAAATTACTACTACTACTACTATCCTACTACTCTTCATATTACTTCAACTATAGTTGTTGTAGTTGTAGAAATTGTAAGTTGTAATATCTGCTTTTGTATGATGCAACTTGTCATTGATCAATATAGCAGTGACAATGAGATCTAAAAGACTTTAAAATGATTTTTACAAACCTAGCATGTTTGCGATAACAAAGTTGGAGCTTTTAAAATGCAAAATATATTTTCATTGATCTATCTCTCTCTCTATCGCCCCACTATTTCACCAAGAACTAGTTCCGTTTACTGCTATCGTTACGGACGATACCACTCCATACTCAAAAGGTAAGTAAAATATATATTTATATTTGTTAGACTGCGAATAGCATGCGTAAGTTGTTGCTAGGTATGTCAAACACGTGGTCAACACGTATTATATGCATTGTGCATTCTGATTGAAATAATTTTGTAACGAGGCAATAAATAAAGACATGTGCATTTACAAAAATAGTCTATTCTCAACCTCGTTTTTACTTCCTTCTCACATGAATTGACAGTAACGACACCTTCTTATGGCACAGAAGCGCATACCTCCCCCCAAACAACAGGTGAGTCAAATTTAAATTATATTAAAATCGCCAAAGCAACATGATTTCTTAATGATAAAGTGAATTATATGAGTATGAATTGACAATGTGTATTTATAAGTCGAATTGTGCCTTTGAGAGCAGAGGTCACCGTGAAATTATGAAGTTGCTATTCTAAACTTTAAAGACATATGCTGATGACAAAAGAGGAAATCACGACCGGTGATAATGGAATGTTATTTTTCTTTAAAGTTGCTAAACTATTACGATTGGGAATGGGGCTCATAATGTTCTTTTCGAAAATGGATATTGAAATTTACTTGATAAAGGTAATACAAAGTTTTGGTAAATTTGGATGCCCATGTAAATGTATTATAACCACTAGAAAATTTAGCTCCTAAAACACTTCTGCTTTTGAAAAAATGGAATATCAAAATTTCAAATAGCGCCTACGGCCATACAACGGTAGCTGCGACCATGAAAATCTCAGAATATGTAGTTGTGATATATAATTTCCAAACGGAAAAGCCAATCGGTCGATTATAGTCAAGAAACATTGTTTTACAGTTAAATTAATGTCTTGACCTTGAGACTCCATTTCAACCGTGACAACGATCATTGAATATTGCAATAATGATAATACTAATAATAATAATGTCAACTTATAAAGCGCACATATCCATTCTAAAAGACTGCTCAAGGCGCTCTTGTACAACATCAAAATAATTATACAATATTAAAAACTACGACATAAACAAATGGTGCTTAAGTTTCTTCTTAGATATTTCAATTGATGACGATTGTCTTATTTCTAATGATAAAGTGTTCCATAATTTGGGTGCAACGTTAGCAAAAGCCCTGTCCCCCCATATTGGTTTTGGGTGTACATAACTGGAGCTGTGAACCTGAACGTAAATTCCGTTGAGGAGTGTACGGTTTCAAAATCTGATACAAGTAATGGGGTGAAGAATGAAGAAGTGTTTTGTAAGTAATGAGTAACAGCTTTATACATAATTCTTTTTGAGACTGATAACCAATGAAGAGATTTTAATATATCTGAAATACTGTCTGATCTACTGCGGAGAGTGACGAGCCGAGCTGCCATGTTCTGAACTCGTTGCAGACGGGCTATTTGATTTTGAGGAAGGCCAATATTCAATGAATTACACATATCCAAGCGACATGTAATAAAGGAATGAACAATCTGCTCAGTGGGTTTCTGATTCACATACTTTCTGATCCTCCAAATATTGTGAATATGGAATGATGCTGAACTAACAACATTTGAGATCTGAGACTTCATGGTCATTCCAGCATCAAACAAAACTCCAAGATTACGAACCTGATTAACACATTTTATTTCTGAGTATGTTCATTTGAACAAAATTCATGACCCCATACTATTACCTTAAACATTGCTACTTCGTTTCATAGGCTCAACGCGTCGGGTTGGTTTGTCGGATTACACGACCTTTCATGAAAACGTACCCCATATTCACGAAAGGGCGGTTATTTTGAACGCAAATAATTATTTTTTTCTTCAAAAATGGCCCTTGCGATAAGGTTAATCTGTTTAAGGTACTATTCCCTTTTGCAACCAACCTTAAATTATGTAGAACTTTGCAGGAATTTTTAAGATGACATGTATGTCCTATCTGTGAAATTTAAACGTTAGCAGTGTCCTAATATTCAAATTATGCAAGGAAACCCATTTACTTGCTAGACTTCACTGTCAGACACTCTAGAGTGACTGACTGGCTTTTTTCTTCTCCTTTGGTAATAACATACATAACATGAGCTGTAAAGGCTACATGAGCATTTGTCTACATCAATCACCCACTTCTTGTGATGGCCAAAATTAAACTGATTCAATCTTTGCGCAGCATAAAACATATGACCGTTCGATACAATGGTCTGAAAATCAAAAATTTTACTTATTGGCTCTATAGCTCCTAAGTCGATTTGACAACTAATAGCCGTTATTTTCCCACTTGAAGACATTTTCGAGCCCTACCTTTTTTAGGGAATTTCTAAATTTAATAGTATTATCGTTCAAATGTCGTTGGAATTCAACCTTTTCATTTTTGGCCTGCGAATGGGACATACTTCCTTTAACATGAATATTTGTGAAAACATGCCCATACAATCATGGAGTGTCGGTAACTATTGTTATTATTTATCCCCTATTAAAAAAATTCGGGGTCGAGACACGAGTTTTCGTATATTTGTTGTAACTTTTTAAGAAAGTTTCGGGTATAAGAGGGGTGTATATCTTAAACGTTAAACCAGACCCTTCGATAATCACGGTTTGCTAATGCAACAACATCTCGTGTAATCCGAAGACCCTATGGAATTAAGTAAGCGAGCTTTCAGGGATATTAAAGTCTTTCTTACGTTCTGAATTACAATATTCAATTACTTGAAAAAACGACAAAACCAAATTACTATTCATTATAAAACCAGTTAAAAAATCATAACATCATATTTTGTTCGTAAGGGTTCATATTCATAGCCGAATTATTCATGTCTGAACAAGTCTGACAGTAATTTCAATAATATTATAATACATAAGTGTTTTTATATTTAATTATGTATTTAAAAAAGAAATGGTTCTTATCACATTTTAGATAATTCATTGAGTGCGATCCCGGAGACCACCGCTGACCAAACAGGTAGATCTTCTTTCGGTTTTGTATATCAGTAAATTCAAGCAATCAATTACCTTTTATATTCCCAATTTTCAATTATCCTGAAACTGAATGCATGTATAAAATGAAATTATAAAGTAGCCTTAATATATGTGGAAGTAGTAGTCCCCATATACAAAATAACGTCCACGATTGGACAGGCGGGGATCCACGGGGCTGGGGGGGGGGGGGGGGGGTGTTGAGTAAAAAAAAAATAAAACTATTTTATTTTTAGTGCTCCCCCCCCCCCCCCGTTGAGCGAAAATAACGGCCTGCGCGATTTTCCAATTTTCACCCCCCCCCCCCCCCTATTGGGTAATCCTGGTTCCGCCACTGCGATTGTATGCAGGATTAAAATCCAGGTAACTGGAATACTAGAGGCCCTGTAACTCAAAGATAAGTAAGCGGTCGATTGTTTTTTTTGTAATCAGTCGCTGTGTGCAACCCAATCACAAGATATGTATCGTACATTTTGATTGATCAATCGTCGATCGGTTGCTATACTCAATGTTATAAGACCCAGGAGTGTAGAATATGCTTCTTGTTTATACCAAGCTTTGAGGACAATGTTTTACCTGTATGTCTATTTATCATTCGTATTGATATTATTATTGTTAGTAGTAATGTTATTATTATCATTAAAATTATTATTATTATTATTATTATTATCATTATTATCATTGTTATTATCATTGTTATTATCATTATTATTATTATTATTGTTATCATTATAATAATGATCTATTTCTAAATTCATAATCCGTTATTGATATGGTAATTGTTGTCATTCACGTTATAATCATCATAATCATTATTATTATTAACTGTAAACATTTATATGGATTGCAGAACTAGTTACTGATAAGGACGACACTACCCCTTACTCAAAAGGTAAATAAAATACATATTAATATCAATCGGACTGCGAACTGCATAAATTGGTTATTGCTAGGTATGTCAAAGATCATAGTCAACACGTATTATATGCATTGTGCATTCTGACTGTTGAAATACAACTTTTCTTAACAGGTGAATGAAATAATTTTGTAAAGATAATTATTATTGTTATTATTATTATAATAATAATTATTATAAACAAAAACATGTGCATTTACAAAAAATAGTCTATTATCATCTTCGTTTTTACTTCTTTTTTACATGAATTAACAGTAACGACACCTTCTTATGGCACAGAAGCGCATACCTCCCCCCAAACACCAGGTGAGTCAAATTTAAATTATATTAAAATCGCCAAAGAAACATGATTGTGAAATTCCTGAATGTATTTAAGTTAATAATAAAGTGAATTATATGAGTATGAATTGACAATGTGTATTTATTAGTCGAACTGTGCCTTTAAGAGCAGAGGTCACCTTGAAGTTTTGAAATTGCTATTGTTAACTTTAAAGACATATGCTGACAACAAAAGAGGAGATAATGTTATCCTGACCGGTAATAATGGAATGCTATTTTTTTTTAATTGATTAACTAATTAGTATTGGGAATGAGGCTCATAACGTTCTTTTTGAAAAATTGATATTGATATTTACTTGATTAAGCATTGCTACTTCGTTTCATAGGCTCAACGCGTCGGGTTACACGACCTTTTATAAAACATACCCCATATTCACGAAAGGGTGGTTATTTTGAAGGCAAATAATAATTTTTGTTTTCAAAAATGGCCCTTGAAATGAGGCTTATCTGTTAACATGAATATTTGTGAAAACATGCCCATACAATGATGGAGTGTCGGTAAACTGTTGTTATTATTTATCCCATATTAAAAAGTTTCGGGGTCGAGACACGAGGTTTCGTATATTTGTTGTAACTTTTTATGAAAGTTTCGGGTAAATTTGCGATAAGAGGGGTGTATATTATAGGGTTCATATTCATATATGTGTGTGTGTGTTCAGACGCAGATCCAGGGGACCGAGCGGTCCTTGCCCCCCCCCCTCCCCCCCCCCCCCCCACTTTTTTTTTTGGGGGGGCTCAAAGGGGGAATGTTTGATTTTATTTTACGGGGTCAAAAGAGAAGAAAAAATAGTGCTCACTACCCCCCCCCCCCCTTACGGCACGATTTCTCATTAATTTCAAATTTGGGCCTCCCCCTACGAAATCCTGGATCCGCACCTGTGTGTGAGTGTGTGGGTGTGTGTGTGTGTGTGTGTGTGTGTGTGGGTGTCTGTGCGTATGTGTGTCTGTGTCTGTACTTAAAAATGTTCTATATTAGATAACAACTATAAATCAGTCCTTTCCTATTTTCTGATACTGCCAAAGAAACAAAGACTTTTTTTTTATGAATTTCAATACTGAGAACTTTTAGTTTATAATAAC